ATAGAGCTTCTCCATCTTTGGCTGCAAAGAATGTAACCAATCTAATTTCAGTATTGATCATTTGGTGATGTCCATGTGTAGAGTCATCTCTTGTGTTATCGAAAGAGGATGTTTGCTATGACCAGTGAGTTCTCTTGGCAAAACCCTGATGGCCTTTGGCCTGCTTCATTTTGTACTCCAAGACCAAATTTGCCTGTTACTCCAGGTATCTCTTGACTTCCTACTTTTGCATTCCAGTCCCCTGTAANCTGCTTCATTTTGTACTCCAAGACCAAATTTGCCTGTTACTCCAGGTATCTCTTGACTTCCTACTTTTGCATTCCAGTCCCCTGTAATGAAAAGGACATCTTTTTCTTTTTCTTTTTTTTTTTTTTTTCGGTGTTAGTTCTAGAAGATCTTGTAGGGCTTCATGGAACCATTCAACTTAAGCTTCTTTGGCATTACTGGTTGGGGCATAGACTTGGATTACTGTGGTATTGAATGCTTTGCCTTGGAAACAAACCAAGATCATTCATTGTTCTTGATATTGCATCCAAGTACTGCATTTCAGACTCTTTTGTTGACTATGAAGGCTACTCCACTTCTTCTAAGGAATTCTTGCCCATAGTAGTAGATATAATGGTCATCTGAATCAAATTTGCCCATTCCTGTCCTATAGTTCACTGATTCCTAAAATATCAATGTTCAGTCTTGTCATCTCCTGCTTGACCACATCCAGATTACTGAACCTTCCAGGTTCCTATGCAGTATTGTTCCTTATGGCGTCGGACTTTACTTTCACCACCAGGCTCATCCACAACTGAACAGTGTTTCTGCTTTGGCCCAGCCTCTTCATTCTTTCTGGAGCTATTTCTCCATTCTTCCTCAGTAACATATTGGCCACCTACTAACCTGGGGGGCTCATCTTCCAGAGTCGTATCTTTTTGCCTTTTCACACTGTTCATGGGAGCAGTTAAATGACTTGCCCATAATCACACAGGGCAGAGCAGGGATTTGAACTCAGGAAGTCTGGCCCTGGAGCCCACTGTGTTGCTCTGCTGATTGATGCTGCAGGGGAAAGAAGCACTGCTTTTGCCTGGGGAGCTCAAGGCAGTACTCAAAATAAAGGCAGTGCCTAATGGAGCTTTGCAGGATGTGTAGGAGTTGGACAGCACAAACGCCAGAGGACTTTGCTGCTTACAGGGGTGGGAGTCACACGAGGACTAGGGACTGACAGATTCAGAGACAATTTGGCTTTGCTACCAAGGGCAGACCACAGCTGAAATGACTCAGAAATGGTGTTTCACTGTGGGAGCTAGGACCAATTACCTGATTTGTTAAATTATGCAAAATGAGAAAGCTCAGGCCCTTGTTCAAAAATTATTAAGCAGTTCAAGATCACAACATCAGAGCATTAAATCAAGCCCAGGACCCTCCTTAGGGTAGTCCCCATGGAACTGGACAGGTCACACACCCATGAATCCGGCCCAGCTGGGGGCTGAGGGATTAAGCAGCCATTGGGTAGCCTCCTTCCAACTGCTGAGCCTGGACTGATTAAAAGGACTTGGCAGTAGGGTAATTGTAAGGCCAGGAGGCCATATATGGTCATGAGGCCAAGTCTTCCTCAAGGATGAGGGAGCTGGACACAAAGTCCCCTAAGAAGCAGGACTGAGAGACTTCCCTAGTGGTCCAGTGGTTGAGAATCTGTCTGCCAAAGCAAGGGACACAGGTTCAATCCCTGGTCCAGGAAGATCCCACCTGCCTCAGGGCAATTAAGCCCATGCACCTCAGCAACTGAAGCCTGCCTGCAGCAGTGAAGACCCAGTGCAGCCTAAAATTAAAAAAGAAAAAAAAGTAGGACTGAAGTTTAGGGTGCGCTGACCGAGAAGGCATCTTTATTCCCAGAGTCTGGGGTCAGAACAGCAAAGATATTGATGTTTCTGAAGCAGCCCTGAGGGCATCAATCTTCAGACACCCATGAGCCTGGAGCTTGGGTTGTTTACTTTGGCAGAACCTCCCAGGACAATTTATTTTTATCAATAAAACTTGGAGACTGTTGAGCCAAGAAGCCACGTGGGGAGAAACAGGTTCCCAGAGTCTGTGTCTCACTTCCCCCGCCTTGTGAGGTGAAAGACCAGGAAATCGTGGCGGGAAGGGGAGGGGCTGTAATGATCTGGGGTCAGTGTGTGCACAGCTGTCCTGACTCTTGTCTTGGACCTGAATGGACTCAGGACCAGCTACATAGGCGGTTTCCCACACTCAGATTTTCTCTCCTTCTTGCTCTGATCAGAACCTAGCCCCCTAAGTTTGGGGTGATGTTTATCAAGGGTTCTGACATTATCCTAATAGAAGTAATTCATACTAAGGTGTAAATGACTGAGTGGCTTGGCTCATTGGTACCTGTGCAGATTTTCAATAAGGGCCTATTAAGGCAAGTGAAGGCTCCCAGAACATATGGAATAACTCCTTGATGGGTCAGGGCTTTGCTCTGTATTCCTGCATTGCATCCCCTTTTCTCACTTTTAAAAATAAAAGGGTAGGGGGCAGAACATGGGCTCTGGCATCAACCTGACCCATGTACAAATCTTACTCCTCTATTTCTGATCTGTGTGATAACATAAATTGTGACCTAGAACACTTCAACTTCTCTGAGCCTTGGTTTCCCCAGGTGGGTGATAGGAATAATCAATGACTCCTTCATTAGGCTGTTGGATTAAATAAAAAGATTTCTGAGCCCAGTAGCCTAGAGCAGGTCTTCAACAAATATCAATTCCCATTCCCTATTCCTTTCCTCAGACCTTAGAAAGCATGTTCTTAGAGGGTTGGGTCTGTGTCATGGACAGACTTGGCGAAATGTCATAGGAAGAATCCTGATTACTTTGGAACCAGAGACCTGATTTCAATGCTGAGGGTGCTCTTGCCTTGGTGTGTGACTTTGGGCAAGTTGCTTACTCACTCTGGTCCCAAGTTCCTATCCTGTAATAACATGAGAGTGATATGTCCTCCCCTGAGGATTGGGGAAGGGGAGGTCAAGGAGATAATGCATGTGAAACAATTAACACAGGGCCTCCACTCCCCCCCAAAAATCAATTCTCTCCTTAAAATTAAAGAAAAAAAAATTTTGGACTCAGTTTTCCTTCTCGAGAAAATGAGGATAATGCCTCAGTAGCTCGCATCTCAAAAAGTGCCTCTGAGGCCACATGAAATAATGTGACCATTGGGAATAAAGACCATTAGGAATTGGGTAGAGGACAGTGTTAATACTGCCACGAGACATGGTATGATGTTTTAACCTTCCTGGAGGCCTCACTCTTGATTCCTGGACGGTGGCCCATGGGATTGGGTCTGACAATTCGGGGCATATGTATCTTTTCCTCCCTCCCTCGCTGCCTCCCTCCCTTCTCTCTCTCCCTTTCCTTCCTCCACCTTCTTACTTCCCTCCCTCATCCCTCCCTTTCTCTTTCTCTTTCCTTCTTTTTTCCTTGCTTTCTCCTTCCCTCCAGCCCTCCCTTCTTTCCTCCCTTCCTTCCTTCTGTTTTGCCATGAACAAAGTTACTAATGGGCCCTTGGCAGAGCAAGTTGATTTCTTTTATTATTTTATTTCCTAATTAGGTAAAAAGGACAAGCACCACACCAGCACGGTGGTGCTGGTTCAGCACGGAGAACCTTGACCCGACCTCGGGGTAGATGAATCCAGACTCTAAAAAAATTAGCGCATTTCAGAATACTCAGTGAGCTCAGCAAATGTGAGTCTAGGCAAAGGAAGGAAAAATGAAAAACAAACAAAAAAAGAAAATCAGAGGAGAGGACAAGAAAGGAGGAAAGATTTAGCTGAGGTCATCTTTCCCTTTTCCTAAGAAGAGTGGGAGTCAGAGGCAGTCTAGAATCCTTTGATGAAACAATTCCATCACCGTGACCTCAGGTGGCCGAGAGAGGTGTAGCTCGTTCAAGAAGCCGTTTTGATTAAAAAAATAAAATGAAAAACCACTGTTCACATTCTGGGAGCATTCTTTTGATAAGACAGACAACACCCTGCTGATATAAACTTACCAGTCATTTATACTTTAGCATGACTCACTTCAACTAGGTTTATCCTTTGATATTTAGCTGAAATCACTGACCCTTCGAGTGAGCTCTCTAGAGGATGAAGGGGCATATGTGGATCCAGTGGCTGATGGAATAACCACTTTTATTTCCCTCTTTGTCCTCCTTCTCCTTCCCCTCCTGCTCCTCCTTTTCCTCCTTATTCTTTTCCTCTTCCTTCTTCTTCTTTGTACGGGGCATTTCTAAAACTTTTACCTTATATCTTAGTACTCTGAGAGGTACTTACATCCATCCTGGAAGGCAGTCTCTTGCCCGATCTTCTCATCTCTAACAAGGGTACTGATGTCTTTAAGGTAGATAATTTTTAATAAAGCTATTCTGTAGATAGTATAATAATGGATACATATCATTATACAGCTGTCAAAACCCCTAGAATGTGCAACAACAAGAGTGAACTCTGACATAAACCGTGGGCTTTGGGTGATGGTGCGCCAAAGTGGGTCCATTGTAGCAAGTGAACCACTCTTGTTGATGTTGATGGTGGGGGAGGTTGTCAAGGGGCAGGGAGATCTGAGAACTCTGTGTACCTCTTGCTCAATTTTGCTGTGAACCTAAAACTTCTCTAAAAAACAAAGTGGTTTTTTTTTTTTTAAGTAGACAGTTCCAAATAAACCTGTTTGGACCTTAGTAGGGAAACTCAGGTTTTCTTTTGCTCTTTTCATCTACATCCTTTCCTGCCTCCCCTCGGGAGGAGTAGATTGAGATAGGAGCAGGGTTTGAAGCCCAACCAGCTCCCTGCCAGTGGTGGGCAAGTCTCCTCCCTTCTGGGAACCTCAGTTTCCCCATCTGGCAAAAGACACAGAGCTGTGGGAGAATTCCCACAGAACACCTGATAAGATAAACAACACCCAGCGGGTTATTCCATCAGTTGCTCGTGTGTTACTGTTCCGGTGGGTCACTGCTCTCCTGTCTTTCAGAGGCGAATCTGGAGCTGGGAAAACAGAAAACACCAAGAAAGTCATCCAGTACCTGGCCATGGTGGCCTCCTCCCACAAGGGCAAGAAGGATACAAGCATCACGGTGAGTGGCAGCCCCTGTCATCTGGCCACAGCTTGACAGATGGGCCTTGGGCTCGAGGGCTGACCAGGTAGAGAGAGCACCACTGGGAAGGCCAGGGCTCCGCGTTATAAGGACTCAGGACTGTGTTTCCCTGTCCCTCCCCTGACAGCTCACTGGAGGGATTTTTCTTCATCCTGGGTGGTCCTGTTGGGTCTAGGCGATTCCTCACTTTGGCCAGGATCGTCTCCTGTTTTGTGAACTGGGAGGAGGAGTTTTGATTGACATCAAAGCTTCTCGCTAACAGCATCACTGTCATTTTGGACTGGATAATTCTCTGTGGTGGGGCTGTCTTATGCCCTGGAGGCTTTTTAGCAGCGCCCCTGGTCACTCTCCACTGGAGGCAGGTAGCAGCCCCTCCCCTGGGTTATGACGACCAAGAAAGTCAGGTGCCCTCTGGGGGGTGCAGTCACCCCTGATTGAGATCCACTGCCTTAACTGAATCGCTGTGAATTCCCTAGTGTTGAGGCATACCTGTCATTCCTGCATGTCTGCCTCCAATGGGAACCCCAGGGGATGGAAGCATGGGTGTCACTCGGCATCTGAGCTTTGGTCCAGTGCCCTTGACTGAGCAGCTACTGTGTTCTAGGCACTGCTAGTATGGGGCCCATCGATGAGTCTGAGTTATTCTAAACACTGAGCTTCTGGACTCGTGGGACAGAGAGGTCGTAAATCATCAAATAAGGACACAGTTCAATTAAGGAAAAGAAGAGCAGCTTTCTAGAATCTTCCCTTCCTGGGTCCATCCCTCTTTTCCTCCTCGATCTTAGCCTGGCCTCATCTATCCCAGTGGAGGCGACAAGCAATGGGGCTGCTGGAAGGACCTGCCAGCGCCTCCCTCCAAAGGTTTGGGGCTGGGTGGGGGGGATGGCAAAGCTTGGGGTGTCACCAGTTCCTGCCGCTCTGGATCTAGCTTCTGGGGCTCAGAGGCAACACTGGAGAAGCCACAGAGACCAGCCTGTCTGGAGGCCCTTGGGGATCTGGGGCGAGCCCCAGCTGTAGCTTGGGGAACTTTCCTCCCGCCAACAGGTGCAGGAAGCCCGAGATCCAGCATCCACACTGCCTCTGGCATGGTGTAAGGAACAAAGAGCCCCAGGGTTTACGTGGTGGCCAAACCCTGCCTCCCACTGTCTTTCCTTTCCCTAGAATAGTAAAAGGAAGAAATAATACTAATGATGGATCTTTACCAAGCGCCTACTATGTGCCAGACACTTTTTTTCTCTGCGTGTGAGAAGGTATCTCAGACAGCATCTCGTCAGATACAGTTTTAAAGAGTGCACTTTGGTCCCAGAAATTTAAAAAAAAACCTTTGAAAATGTCTGAATCTCTTAAGAATTTAGAAAAGAAAGCAAGTGAAGCAGAGAGGGAATTGAATCCAAGAAAAGCTGCTGCTTTTCTCAGTTGGAGGATCTTGGAGAATCCAGGCTGTCTGGGGGCGGGGGGGAATTGAAATTGTATATTCTCCAGACCCTGATGTACATGTGATGGAAATAATACTGACGTTTGTTTTATACTGTATTGTTCAACCACAGCAAGGCCCATCTTTTGCCTACGTGAGTAACTGAGAGTGTTTTCCTGGTGTGGACGGGAGGCACGGAGTGTATTTAGATGTGCATGCCCCTGTTGCACCCACTGAGCCCGGTACCTGACGGTAGACTGGGCTAGATCCCCGAACCTACAAACGCACTGAAATACCGTCCTGCGGGTGCCTGATGCCACCCGGCGGGGTGGGGCGTGTGGGTGCATCACCACCCGCAGGACTCCCACCGGAATCCCCAGGGTTGTCCTCTAGCCTGGAATGGATTTTCCCCAGTTCAGAACGAACGTCGCCTTACCCTTCCCACCAAGGTGTCCAGCACCGAGGTACCCCTGATTGGAAGGCCCTGGAGATGTCTGTCCTGTCTGGTTGAGCTTTTGAGGACCTTCTGGCCCTGAAGCTTTCCTGGCTTGATTGACAGTCAGTTAATGGCACTGCTGTGGCATGCCTTTGTCTCCGCGCCCTGCCATCATCCCTGAATTCCTCCCCCGAGGCCTGTTCCCTGTGCACCGGTGTGTCTTCCTCTGCATGTGTGTGCAGTGCGTGTCTGTCTTTGCATGCCGGTTGCTTGACCCAAGGCTCCAGAAACAGAAGTCTTGGGGTTCACGATGCACTAGCTTCGGTGGCACGGTAAGGCCCCAGCTATGCAACACCCAACCAGGCCCTGCTGAAACTTCTGCATATACAAACTCATCTCTTAACGCAGAGCTTGGGGGGCTGGTGTACGGGTCCCAGCTTGAAAGAGACCCTCAGACCAAGAGGTCCTAGCGTGCCCTAGGGTCACACTCAGTCCATCTTAGTTAGACGTGGGCAGCAGCATCATGAGTGCATCAGAAGGAGAATCAGGCTGCTTCTTTGGGATTTGCTCCTGTGTGACTTTGGCCAAGTCGCTTAACTTCTCTGGGTCACTGTCTCATCATCCATAAAATGAGTGGCTTGGATCAGATCTCCTGAGAAGGATCTTTTGGCCCCACCAGCTGGAACTCCTGTTCTAGAAAGGGGAATTTCTCGGGGGATACTGAGACCCCAAGTTTGTGTTGACAAAAGTGACCCCTTTAGTCTTCTCCCCACTAGTCAAGCAAAGCCCTCCTTGTAAATTTCCACCATTCCCAATCATGGGGATTCCAGTGTGGCTGCCATTTTCAGAGAGATGACACTTCCTGTCTATCTTCTTTGGAATCTGCAAAGGAGGAGGGCTTGTGTGACTAATAAACACAGAAATAAGTAGTGGCTTCTTGTTCTGTTCCTTTAGGGACAGTCACCCACGGTGCCCTCCTGGTGCACAGCGGCGGGGAGAAAGCCATGCCCTCACCTTCTCTTTCTAGAATGTTTCCCAGGTTCTTTTTAGCCTAGTCCAGTTACCCTGAAAGAAAAAAAAGACGGGAACCAGCAGAGAAAACAGGAGAAAACACCTAGGGCCCACACTTCCCAGCCTGGCCTGTAGGAGGAGCTGTCGGGAGAGCCGCTGGGCCAGTCTGCAGCTGCCGTGTTGCGGGGCTAGGCAAAGAGCAGCTCATTGCTTCCTGGCATGATTTACCTCGTTGGCCCTTTCCTGCCACAATTAATCACGTGACCGCGTTTGTGCACAGGAGCCCCCTCAGAGGGGGCCAGTGGGCTGTGTACAGTCTCAGCTGTGTTTAACCTGATGAATGGAGCTCAGGCAACAACTCGCTTTGAGGCTTTGTTCTGCAGTTGGTTCAAAGTATTCCTGGTGGGTTTTGTGCATTCCTTATTTGTCTTCCCTAGGAGACTTCTGAAAACTGGTCCTGAGAAAGGAAAAATTGCAACTTTAAAAAATGCACTAAAGCCTTCATAAGTGTTGTAGTGGTCTAGCTTGAAGAAGGCTGCTTGTCAAACACTAGCAGCAGCAGGACTGCCATGTACAGTGGGGCAGGTTGTGCACTGCACAATTCCATGGATTCACTATGATGTCAATGACATCCCCGTGTTGTCAGTGCCAGAGTTCAGCATGTCCCATAGATGAGCAGGCCTTATCTTCTAGGGAACAGATGTTGCAGCTGTAACAGAGCTCATCCCTTTGCTTCTCTTCTGAAATCTTTGAGTAAATCTGGACATTAGCATTGGGGTCTCAGAATGGGTAGGTAATAGGACAGGAGAGAACCCATGGGTTAAGGGCAGAGTTTTTTGGCAACCTCTGTCCAGGGCAGAACCGTCAGTGCCTGCATCACTTTCTCTAATAACTGCATGTGAATGAATTTTAGGGTGAGCTGGAGAAGCAGCTTCTACAAGCAAACCCCATCCTGGAGGCTTTCGGCAATGCGAAAACGGTCAAAAACGACAACTCCTCCCGATTTGTAAGTGGTGAAGCTACGTGAGTTTTCTGGAAAAGGCTCGGGTCCCCAATGTCCCCTCCTGCCTTCTCGAGAACTCAGAGTGCATGTGTGTGCATGGGGCATCTGAGGCTTAAGGAATGGAGGTGTGCGTTGCATTTTGCTCTGTGACTCCAGTCCTGTCTTAAACTGACCACCCTGCGAGTGTTCCAACCACTCACTCCCTCATTCATTCATTCACTATTCATGCAACAAATATTCATTGAGCACCTGCTGTATACTCAGCTCCCTATTAGAATTTGACATTCATAATTCATTCAATAAACATTTATTGAGCATTGAGCACCTAGTATACAAGTGCTAGACACTTGTATACAATACTCATTCATTTATTCAGCAAAACATGCATTGAGCACCTACTGTGTACCAAGAACTTGCAAGTTTCAACACATTTATTAAGCACTCATTGTATACATCCATACAGGCATTTTTACACACATCATTCTCTCTCTTCATTTATTTGGATCATTTTTATTAAGTACCTGCTATATACCAGACTTTGAACTGGACTCAGAATCACAGCAAACAATTCAGACATGGTTTCAGCCTTCACAAAGGCCAATAGTCAGTGAGGCAGAACTTCCCACTCTGGTTTTCCCAGGCTTCATGGGCCCCTCCTCTTTCTCACTTGAGCCTAACGGGGTCAGGGTAACCCTGAACTTGGGTGGTTGATGATACTTAGACAATAATCATTTTGTTGTACAGAAGAAGTGGGACCTCCGTAGGAGACTCAGAAAGATAATTACATGAAAAAAATTATAGGAAAGATTGAATCTGAATTCCATTAATGAGGGGGACCATGCTGACTTGTGGGTGCCCCTCTGAATGCTCCCTGACTTCTCTCGCCCTACTTTCCTGCAGCATGGGGTTGAGGGATGAGGCTGGGGACCCCACTGTGAACTGTGTTTTCCTGTTGGCAGGGCAAATTCATCCGCATCAACTTCGATGTCACGGGTTACATCGTGGGAGCCAACATTGAGACGTGTATCCTTTGCTGAGCCTGGGCCACCTGGGATCCCCACCCCAGCACCACCCACCTCCCGCCCAGAGCCCCAGGGGGCCTGAAAGGCACAAGAGCCACCTCTCTCTCCAGCACTTGGGTGCCGTCCAGAACAATTCTTCCTTGGGGTTGCTTTCACTTAAGAGCAAGCCTTGTAGTGTGGTGGTCCCTTGGTTTGGGGACCTCAAGCAGCCTCTATTTGATTCTGGATGGACCTCTCACTAGCTGAGTGATCTTGGGCTAATTACTTAACTTCTCTGTGCCTCATCAGTGAAGTGGGGATGCTGATAATACCTGCCTCAAGTGAACTGATTCATGTAATGCTTTTAGAGGACTTCCCTGGTGGCTCAGTGGTAAAGAATCCACCTGCAAGGCAGGAGACATAGGGTTGATCCCTGGGTCAGGAAGATCCCCTGGAGAAAGGAATGGCAGCCCACCAGTCTTCTTGCCTGGAGAATCCCATGGACAGAGGAGCCTGGCAGGTTACAGTCCATGGGGTTGCAAGAGAGTTGGACAAGACTGAGCAGCTAACTCATCAAAGCTTTTAGAATCATGACAGAATAAGGGCTAGTTAAGTATTGGCTAGAGCTTCCCTGGTGGCGCAGATGGTGAAGAATCTGCCTGCGATATGAGAGACCTGGGTTTGACTCCTGGGTCAGCAAGATCCCCTGGAGAAGGAAATGACCACCCACTTATCCACAAGTACTTCACTTCATCCTTATCGAGCCAGGGTTCAAGGCCAAGCCCAGACCCCTTGTCCTTCTTAGGAACAAAGCAGCTCCAGCCCACAAATAGGACGTCAGTGGAAAAAGAACTCTCCCAGAGGAACTGCCTGCTTCTGGCAAAGAAAACTGGAAGCTGTTTCTGTAAATCTAAGGAACCAGAATCCCACCAGCCCACCAGTGCCTACTCATGCATCCCAGTGGGGGCTCAGGGTATGGCTGGGGTCACTTGACCATGCACCATCCCCACCTCCCCAGAGCTGGGCCAGGACTTAATGAGCTAGAGCAGAACACACACTAGTCTCCGATGGGGGATAAAGAGACAATGAAGAGCCTTGTGTAGGCTCCGAACAGGCACAGCCACCAGCTGAGTTAAGTTTTCCGGAGTTTCTGGATTCAGGAATTACAGATGCGTTTGTGGCCCTAGCCACTCCCTTCTCCCGGGGATCTTCCCAACCCAGGGATTGAACCCTGGTCTCCTGCATTGCAAGCAGATTCTTAACCATCTGAGCCACCAGGCAAGCCCACAATTATGAGGCCTTGAGGAGATAAATTATTGCCCATGACCTGGCATAACAGAGCAGGGAGGACACAGTCTAAACCAGTGGATTTGGGGGACACAGAGAAGAAATGATTATTCATTCTTCGGTGGTTAGCACCTTGGCAGATTTTTAGTCAAGTAGAATCTAGTTCTTATGTGCGGGAAATCCACCTGGTATGACAACCCAGCCACCTGTGTGGCTCCCACGACCCCCATGCCCCCATGGCCTCCACCTCTCCCCCCACAGCAGAACGGCTCTCCCTAGATTAATCAGGGGCGTGTTTACAGTATCCTGAGGCTTGGTTGCTAGTCAGCTGAGTCAGGGTCACTCGGCCAGCCAGAATTGGCACCCAGCTCTCTGCAGCCCGGCCCCTCGGCTGAAGCAGTTTCGGCCACTGCAAACACTTGGCTTCGCTGCTTCCTAACTGTGTGCTCCTGGGAAATGAGCCTTCCCGAGCTTCCCTGGGCCTCGGTTTCCCCTGTATGGAAAATGCCAACAGTATTCGCTCTTAGTTCCTCGGATAGTTTGTGAGGTTTAAGTGAGACAATGGAAAAATGGTACAGATGAACCTACTTCCGGGGCAGGAATAGAGATGCAGACATAGAGAATGGACAGGTGGACACAGTGGGGGAAAGAGAGGGTGGGACAAATTGGGAGATTGGGATTGACACATACACACCACCACGTGTAAAATAGGCAGCTAATGGGAACCTGCTGTAAGGTACAGGGCGCTCAGCTCAGTGCCTTGTGAAGAGCTGAGGTGGGTGGAGGAAGATCCAAGAGAGAAGGGATATGTGTATACTTAGAGCTGACTCACTTCGTTGTATAGCAGAAACGAACTCAATATTGTAAAGCAATTGTATTCCACGAAACGAAAGCAAATGGGAAAATGCATGTCAACATTCAGCACAGGGATTAACAGACCATAGAGGATGTAATTATTTTTACTGTGTAATATCTAAAGACAGTTCACTGTACAGAAGAGAAGTTGGTTATGGTTGTTGGGGAAACGTCTCATTCATGCCCCTCCCAGAAGTCTTCCATCCTGGAGTCTCTTGACTCCTGTCTTTTTATACTTTTGTAACCCCCTTTGTTCCGCTCACTTCTCTCTGGCACTGGGGCCAGCCAGCAGCACCTAGTGGTCTCATTTTGGATCTGTGAGCCAGAACTGGAAGGTCAGCTCATGTGGACCAATGGGTTGATCTGCCTCAGCAATCAGAGTCCTCAAAACTTTCCAGGGAGCTTCTCCTGGGTTCTGGAGATTTCCCCTCCAGCAGTTGATGTGCCAGGGCTTGGGGAGGAAGGTCATCTCCCTGCAAGAGAAGCACATGTGGTATCCCTGGAATTAATTCTATATTGTTCTTGTTCAGTAGCTCAGTCATATCCAACTCTTTGTGACCCCATAGACTGCAGCACTCCAGGCTCCCCTGTCCTTCACTCTCTCCTGGAGTTTGCTCAAATTCATGTCCGTTGACTTGGTGATGCCATCTAACTGTCTCATTCTCTGTTGCTCCCTTCTCCTCCTGCCCTCCGTCTTTCCCAATATCAGGGTCTTTTCCAGTGAGTCGACTCTTCACATCAGGTGGCCCAAGTATTGGAGCTCCAGCTTCAGCATCTGTCCTTCCCATGAATATTCAGGGTTGATTTCCTTTGGGATTGACTGGTTTGATCTCCTTGCTGTCCAAGGGACTCTGAAGAGTCTTCTCCAGCATGGCAGTTCTAGAATTCTTAACTCCTCTCAAACCAGATCTGCTGGAAAAGTCACGTGCGATTCGCCAAGCCCGAGATGAGAGGACCTTCCATATCTTTTACTATCTGATTGCTGGAGCCAAGGAGAAGATGCGAAGTAAGTGATCAGCAAGGACGTGTGCTGGGAGACCTCAGCCCTCCATTCCGTCATTTTCCAGGGTTAATCGATAGCTATTAAAACAGAGTCTGGGATGGTGCCAGGGAAAGAGTTACACATCTCCGGGCAGCATCTCCTCATCTCCTTTGAGTGAGTGAGTGGGGCTTCTGTCAGTCATCTTCATTTACTGAGCATCTACTGTGTGGCACAGCAGATGTCAGTTTCAGTTAGGCATGAATTAATTAATTAATTAGACTGGATGATGGCAAGTCCAAATAAACACAATCTGTGTCTTCTAGGAGGGAACAATTGCCAGGTACTTGCCTGGTGGCGCAGTGGATAAGAATCTGCCTGCCAATGCAGGGGGCCCAGGTTCGTTCCCTGATCTGGGAAGATCCCACATGCCATGGAGCAACTAAACCAGTGCTCTGCAACAAAAGTAGTCACCACAGTGAGAAGCTGGTGCATCACAACAAAGAGTAGCCCCCACTCCTGCAACTAGAGAAAGCCCACACACAGCAGCAAAGACCCAGTACCGCCAAAAGTAAATTAAATAATTTTAAAAAGACAGTCGCCATATTTGCAAGTTTATAAAACTTGCAGGTATTTAAGATGCATTCTGAGTTCATAAGGAATTTTGTAGTGGAACCAAGTGCTTTTTGTTATACCTGTTTTGAAAGTAACTTTGAAGTGGCCTTTTCGAAGGGCAAGGTCAACTATATTTTTCTATAACGAACCAGATAGTAAATCTCTTAGGCTCTGTAGGCCACATGGTTTTTGTCACAGCCACTCAGCTTTGCCTTTGTAAATGCAGAAGCAGCCGTAGGCAATGCTAGACCAGTGGGCATAGCTGTATTACAGTAGAATTTTACTTATAAAAATAGGAATATGCACTGTGCTGTAGTTTGCTGCTCTCTGTTGTAGGAAAAACATTTTTCACATAGAAACACTATACTGTATGCCAGGATCCTGTAGGAAATTACATATGTTCTAGGCATGCAGAAGAATTAATCTTTATTAACTTACAAGAATATATAAAATTCTGTAAAAAGGAACATACCTGTCAATATAGGTACATAGTATGCTCTACATTATAGTAATAAGTTTAAACCCTAAATTTTAGGAGAACAGTACAAATTTTTCTTCCCATCAGTTTTGTGACCTGGGGTTAGTTATTTTGCTTAGAAAATTACCGAAAGTGTGGATGTACTGGTACCTTTGCTGTGATGAGGTGTATTGTAACCGTCCACCACTAGAGGGAGCAGCATTCATGGTTTGATCTTGATACTTGGCATCTGGAGCAATTTTGGGTAAAAGTGGGGAGTGGAATGGATGTTACACAGTGGCAAATAGGTAAATTAGCTGTTACAGCACAGATGCTGTGGGGTGGCCAGAGAGAAATGTTTGTATTTTTCTTCCATCTCTGTGCCACCAAAGTCAACAGTCTGGTTGTTTGGAAACGGGTTCAAGTTTTGTGCTCTGTCTCCAGTCTTTCAGAAATAGAGCAGGGATACGGCTAACTAAAATTCCTAGGAACCACTTGTATACTTGATGATAGGTTTGAGAAGAGGTTAGGGTTTTAGAGAGAATTGAATATTTTAAAAGATATCCTCGGTCTGGATAATGAAATCTTGGCAAAGACTCAGATCCTTGTGACTTTAATCAAGCATTTCAGTTAATCCAAAGTCTTGAGTTAACTGGCATCTTGGGTCAATTTAACCTCGACTTTATCAAGTAGCTTCCAAGTGACTTGACCCATGAAAGCCCTTCGCTTAAAATGTAAAGCATCTTGCTGAATTCTCTCCAAAAGCATAATCAAATCCAGCCTAATTAACAATTGATCTGGAAGAGGACACTTGATATATTGGAGTTTGTCATAAAGGCAAATGGTGTAAGAAAAAAGAGAATAAATTATAAATTTGAGGGAGAAAGGGGTGAATAACAACAAAAATGTAACTACAGAATACAGCTTTATAGAGAACAATATTTAATACATGGCATGAACAGAGAGTTGGCAAATGTTTTTACTAAAGGGCCGAATAGTCCGTATAGATTTTGAGAATCGCATGGTTTTTATTGCAGCTACTCAACTCTGGATGCCATTGTAGCATGAAAGCAGCCATAGACAATAGACAAGGAAATGGGGGTGCCTGTGTTACAATAAAACTCTATTTATAAAGACAACCAGCAGACCAGATATGCCAACCCCTGATATAAGCCTTATCTATTATTACAGGGGCTTTCTAGGTGGCACTAGTCATAAAGAAATCTCCTGCTAATGCAGGAAACATAAGAGACACGGGTTCAATCCCTGGGTCAGGAAGATTCCCCTGGAACAAGAAATAGCAACCCACTCCAGTATTCTTTCATGGAGAAGCCGATGGACAGAGAAGCTTGGAGGGCTACAGTCCATGGGGTCACAAAGAGCTGGGCATGACTAAAGTAACCTGGCACACAGTGATTGCTAGAAATAGTTTGAGAAGAGGGAGGATGTTGTAAGAACGCTAAATCCTTTTCTATCATAGCAGGAAGTGAATGGGCAGTATCTAACCCATATCCAGAAGTAGCCATTAATATGATATATAAGTATAGTGTATAGTAAGCCTATTATATAGAGAAATAGTGATAACTACCAGGAAAAAAACATTAAAAGAGATAAAAAGCAGTTGCTATAGGTAACTACTATAGGTAGGAGTTGGAGAAAGGATGGGACAAGCAATGGTATTTTTATTATAAACCTTTTGATAGTAATTTATTTTTTTCTCATAAAGTATTTGTTAAGTTTAATGTGTTTTATAAGAATAGGACAGAATCAACTATTACACAACATACATAGAACAAAAATCACAGTGCTAACTAGACATCCCAAAAGATACAGTCAAATATATGGCCAGAGAATTATTTGATTATTAGAGAGGGAAAACTGGGGTGATTCAGGAACAAATGCTGATGAAGGTTGCAAAACAAGGGTGCCTTTCTCCTTCCTTGGGATGCTCGTGAAGTTCCCGTCAAATTCTATTCAACCAGTGATGACTAGAAGCTGCAAGTTGCATTTCTCAGGCTGTTAGTACCAGCTTCACATCTGTAGCTCAGTCACTGATATTTAAAATGTGCATGTTTAATTTTGATAAAAGTTTAATTAATGAGTGGATAATGATTAATTTAACTTTTTAGACAGCTTTGTTCCTGAAAGCAGGATACCTTTGGGCAACTGAGCTAAAGATGTCCCTTCCTCTGAGTAGATGCCACCGTCCTGTCAGGGGCCACGGCTGAGGAAGTAGGGCCCAGGCTGGATTTCAGTTGCTGGGCATGCTGGGGTGGTGCACAAGCTTCCCCACTGTAAGAGGCGGGTGATGGCTAGTGATCGCTTCTATGCAGTGAAGCAGAGGAAGCTTTGAACTGTCCAAGTCTCGGGAAAGGGAAAGAGATTGTGATGGACCAGACCCTTTAGCAGCTTCCTGTCTCCTGTTCAGAGTGGACGTGTCTTTCCTGACCACTGCCCTGTCTTCCTCTCCCTCCAGATGACTTGCTCTTGGAAGGCTTCAACAACTACACGTTCCTCTCCAATGGCTTTGTGCCCATCCCGGCCGCCCAGGACGACGAGATGTTCAACGAGACCGTGGAGGCCATGGCCATCATGGGGTTCACTGAAGAGGAGCAGCTGTGTAAGTCTTTCCACCTTGGCCCGCCCTGGGTTCCTGCTCTGGGTACTGACCCAGAAGTGCTTTACCAGAAGGCCAGGCTCTTGTTCAACTTGTCCAGAATTTGGGCCAAGAACATGAGGTACTAAGGAGAAAAAAATAAAATGAACACACACACACACACACACACACACACACACACGTGCACGCTGAGGCTGAGGAGCATAGCGAGCAGCGAAGCAGCTTATTTAGGGCAGAGTTGAAAGTTACACACTCAACACAGAGTGTAGGTGTCCTCGCAAATGAGGGGTGCCCTGCAGGGTTTTTTTGATCCCCCTTTTATTTTTAGCCTTTTGACTAGGTGGGTCTTTTTGATCAGGGATGGAATATTCATTGAGGGGAAGGTTGAAGTGCGGCCTGGATTGCATCCAGTAACATCAGTCCCTGGTCGTGAGTGTTCGTCTCTCGAAGCCCCCGTACGTGAGCCCTAAGAACTGTAGTCCCTTAAATTCTCCTTTACTAGTCAGGCCCCACGCGTGAAAGGGCATGTATGGGCGTTGGCAACCGGTGCACTTTTACTGCGTATGCTCCACAGTTTTCTTGGTCAGAGGTTCTTGCTCACAGTTACAGAGTTTCTGTGCTAATTCCTCCTCTGTGCTGTTCCTCCATGAAGCATGGCCTGATTAAGTGCAAAATAAGGAGGTGGCTTTGCCTTCCACCTGATGTCTGTGTTTGAGGAGACTGTCCTTGGGCCCAGCCCTGCCTTTCCTGCCTCAGTACCGCTGGAATACGTTAGGGACTTTTCTTTGGTCGGGACAGATTTCTGCTCTCTGAATTCCCCACTCAAAAAAAAAGGAAGAAAAGGAAAATTAATGTTACTTTGCATGGCTTATTGCTGTCTTAGAAAGGTGGCTGCGTTAGGCCTCTTTTGGCTACAACTGACCAAATTGGCTTAAGCAAAAAGGAAAATGATTCATTCATGTAGCTGGAAAATTCAGGGATACTGGTTTCATGAACGGCAAATTCTTGGGACTCAAAGAATGTCTTTGGAACTTGGTATCTCAGTAACCTTTAAGTAGGTGATAGTTTCTTGACAACAAAGTGGCTATTGTGGCTCCAGCCCTTACATCCATTGGGTTTATGTCCAGCAGAAATGAGCAGAGTGGATCCCTTGCCTGAGTGCATTAATGAAGTCTCATTGCCTAGGTTGACAGGCATAATCCTGAACTACTCACAATGAGCCAGGGTTGTAGAAAGCTCTATTATGTCTCTTTGTTATGGTCTCTATTCCATTCTTGAAGCTGGAGGTAGAGAGGTTATTGGCCTCATCAAGAACATGTAGGTAGAAGGGAGGGAAAGAAATTGTGACAGCAGGTGTATTTGGGTTCTTCCTGGAAAGGCAGTTCTGGTGATGGGTCAGCATTGATCAATATCATCATACCAAAGAGCAAGAAACACGTTTGGTCCTCAGACTAGGAAAGCTTATAGAGACATTCCTGGTTTCCATACTGTGCAAGAAACACTTTTCCTTCTGAATTAGATGTGCCTCAATATTCAAGATTAATCTCTTTGGGAAACACCAGGACAAGATTGTGGAAATTTTCCCTTTCTTGCCAAGTTCGCACCCTCTTTGAAGCCCCAGAACGATGGCTACAGTTGCCAAACTGCAGGGCAACTGCATTTTGCAGGACAGGCAGCTCCTCCAGAGATAACTTGAGGCTGAAAAGCAGAAGGTTCCATGAGTCAGATAACAGATGGGGGGTGTTTGTGGCTTTTGGCTGGGATCCCGCTTCAGAATCCAGTGCTGACAGCATCCCTTCCTGAATGACATCAGCCCTCCAAGAATGATTCATTTTATTTGGAACATGAGTTAATTTTACTTCTAATCTTTGCTTTTAAAAAATACAACTCATGACTAAGTTCTTGCTTTGGGCCAGGTATTTGGTAAATTTTCCTTTTTAAAAAGTGTACCAAAAATATTCCAGAATGTTCAGTTTTATGTACATAACAAAAAAACTGGAACAAGCTGAAATGTTAATTGGTAGAAGATTTATTCAATTATTGTCTGACCTTATGAAAGAAAACAATGGGTCCTTTCTGACACTGCCTTATGTGGAAATGCTTCTAATATATTTAAAGTGAAGACATCAGGGGACAAAACCAAATGCTAAGTGCTTTATGCACATTATTTAATATCGCAACAACCCTAGGAGATGACTGTTGTTACCGCAGTTTGCAAATGAAGAAACTGAGGCACAGAGAAACAAAGACACACCCAGCAAGAGACACAGAGGAAGTCACCGGTGGGGCTGGGATTCATTCTTGGGTCTCATGGAATCCCAAACCCCACTTTATGATTTGCTGTGCTGTTTCTGTATGTGGGAAGGTGGGTTTTGTTCTATAAATTAAAAAAAAAAAATCTATGTCAGAACCAAGGTATGGAAAACAAGGCTAGAAGGAACCCAGAATGTTCTACAATGTGGACTCGTTTTTTAGATGACAAGTGATGCAGAAACCCACCATGAGGTGGTGGTCCCTTCTCTAGTCCTTTTCAGTCCATCTGATGACTTTCAAAGAGAGGAGCAGTTTGGCATCTACGCGGTCTTCAGCCCCTCCCTGGCACTTGCTCTTCACCCTTTTAACCCTGGAAAGCAGACCCCAGGTCTAGCACCCTGGGCATGTCCCAGCCTCTTGCTAGCATTTGATAATATGATTTATATTCCATGTATTTATTTTTATAGTGGCCATCTATTTATGGCAAGGAAAGCTGATTTTTCACTTAAGATAAAGTTTCCTACTAAAGTAAATCATAGGAAAGAGTGTGAATGTAAAGAAAAGTGTTGAGTGTCAAGAGTACTGGAGAAGGAAATGGTAACACACTCCAGTATTCTTATCTGGAGAATTCCATGGACAGAGGAGCCTGGCGGGCTACAGTCCATGGGGTCACAAAAGCCTGGGACACGACTGAGCAACTGAGCAAACTTGCAGACAACCTAGTCATTTGAAAATAAATAAATAATAGAGTAGATGCTATGTCTGCAGCATGCTGTGTGCATACTAAGTCACTTCAGTCCTGTTTGACTTTTTGAGACCCCATGTACTGTAGACCTCCAGGCTCCTCTATCCATGGGATTCTCCAGGCAAGAATACTAGAGTGGGTTGCCATTTCCTTCTCCAGGGAATCTTCCCAACCCAGGGATCGAACCCACGTTTCGTACATCTCCTACAATGGGACTGTGGAAATCTACCCTCTGCATAAAAATATTCAGTCAGTGATGATACAGGTGAAACCTGAAGTGGCATCAATGGTAAATGACTGACACCTGGAAACAGATCTAGACAATCTCTGGGAGGATCTCCGAGCTGGGGCACTGGAGTTAGCTGCTGGGAGTTCATGTCCTGGCTGGGTTATTAGCAGCTGTGTGAACTCCCGGCATCTAACTCCAGTGCCCCAGCCCCGAGATCCTCCCAGAGACTGTTTAGATCCGTTTCTGGTGTCAGTCATTTACAATTGATGCCACTTCAGGTTTCACCTATATCATCACTGATTGAATATTTTTACGCAAAGGGTAGATTTCCACAGTCCCAATGTAGGAAACGTACGTCTCCTCCTGCCTGCATTGGCAGGCGGGTTCTTTACCACTAGTGCCACCTGGGAAGCCCTGGTATGCCTATAGAGCAAGCATTAAGATGAGGGTGAGGACTTCCTGGTGGTCCAGGGACTAAGACTCCATACTCCCAGTGCAGGGGGCCAGGGTTCGATCCCTGGTCCAGGAACTAAAGCCACGTGCTGCAACTAAGAGTTTGCATGCCAGAACTAAAGATCCCACACGCTGCAACAAAGATTGAAGATCCCGTGTGGCACAACTCAGACCTGGATAGCCAAAATAATAATAAAAAAATATATATAAATATGATTTAAAAATTAAAAAGAAAAAGATGAGGGTGTTCAGGGACTTCTCTGGTGGTTCAGTGGCTAAGACTCCACACTCCCAATGCAGGGGGACTGAGTTTGATACCCCGTCAAGGAACTAGTTCCCACATGCCACAGCTAAGGGTTTGCATGCTGCTTCTGCATGCCTCAGCTAAAGATCCTTTATGCCATAACTAAAAAAAAAAAAAAAAAAATCCAGCATGCTGAAATGAAGATTGAAGATCCCGCATTCTGCAACTATGACCCAGTACAGCCAAATAAGTAAATGAATTAAAATAAATAAATACTTTTTTAAAAGATGAGAGTGGACAAAGGGCTGATGCCCATGGGGCATGGACTTAGACCAGTGTGTATACCAACGCTGATTATAAATCTAGGGCTGCTCCCAGCTCTCCCCAGAAAGGCCAAAGGAAAATGGGGAGCTGAGGGTGCTGTTAGGCCTGAGCCCTGGCACTGCATGAGGGCCCAGGTGACCAGTTTCCTCTGGCTCCTGGACCTTAGCAAGAGAGAAGTACTTGCCCCAGTTTGCGCAGAGAGGTAGCCAGCAGTGTAAGCCATCATAATCACGATGACATCATAGCAACTACTGCTTATTGAGCACTGTCTGGGTTTACCTGCCATGTGCTGTGCTGTGTTAGTCGCTCAGTCATATCCAACTCTCTGCGACCCCAAGGACTGTAGCCCGCCAGGCTCCTCTGTCCATGGGGATTCTCCAGACAAGAGTACTGGAGTGGGTTGCCATCCCCTTCTCCAGGGATTGGACTCAGGTCTCCTGCATTTAAGGCCCACCAGTTTAATCTAGGGGCTTCTCAGGTGGTGCTGATGGTAAAGAATCCAGCTGCCAATACAGGAGACACAGGGACTCAAGTTTGATCCCTGGGTCAGGACAATCCCCTGGAGGGGGAAATGACAACCCACTCCATTATTCTTGCCTGGAGAATCCCATGGACAGAAGAGCCTGATGGGCTACAGTCCATGGGGTTGCAGAGAGTGGGACATGATTGAGCATGCTTGTGCACACACACAATTTAATCTAAGGTGATCTCATTTAATTGCCTCTGCAGGGATCTTTTTTCAAATAAGGTCACATTCGCAGGTTCTGGATGGTCATGTCTTTGATGGCCACCAGTCAACTGCTATTTAGCACCCACTGGGCCAGGCCTGTGGCTTGCAGCATCTCTCCTGATGTAAATTTCATGAAGCAGGTACTTCTGTTACTCTCTCCATCTGGCAGATGGGGAAACTGAGGCTCTGCAAGATGAAGCTAGGATTTGAATTCAGGACATCCTAACACTAGAGTGCATGCTTTCAAACACTGCCCCAGACCCCAGCCCTTGCCACCCTTACCATCTGGGCAGCCTTTCCACTTTGCTGCTTTGTTGCCAACCAGCTCTTATGACCTGGGAGTGGTGACTATTCTTTTGTCATTTCTGTGACCATGTTATCTACACAAGAAAATGCAAACTGGCAATACCTGAGCCCACGGAAGAGGTTGACCTCCACATTGAAGTTGTTAATTTTATTATTTATTTATTATTAAATTCATTATTTATTTACTTGGCTGTGTTGGGTCTTAGTTGCAACACGTAGGCTCTTAGTTACAGCACGCCAGCTCTCTAGTCGTGGTACACAGGCTTAGTTGCCCCATGTCGTGTTGGATCTTAGTTCCCCAACAAGGGATCAAACCCACATCCTTTGCATTGAAGGTGGATTCTTAACCTATGAACCACTAAGGAAGCCTCCGAGTTGTTAATTTTAAACTTGGGTAGATTTCACATGAAAATCTGGGTTTCCCCATCATCTTTGGAAAAGCAGAAGTCTGGCATGCCTCCCTTGTGGCCATGATTGGAGTCGCAGCTGTCGCCTTTCATGCAGGGTTGTGGCCCCCGTGAATCCCTGCAGGCTCCATCAATCTGCTTTTCTCATTTAGACTAGTGGTTCTCAACCAGGGTTGGGGGGGGGTGGCCCCCAAGGGGCAATTGGCAATGTCTGGAGACATTTTTGGTTGTCATAACTTGGGAAAGGATAACACTATTGACAGAGTATGAGATGGCTAGATAGCATTACTGACTCAATGGACATGAATTTGAGCAAACTCTGGGAGATAGTGAAGGACCAAGAAGCCTGACATGCTGCAGTCCATGGGGTCGCGGAGTCGGACGGGACTTAGCGACTGAACACGGAAACAGCATACTGACATCTAGTGGTTGGACAGCAAGGATGCAGCTGAACATCCTGTAATGATGCACGGGGCACCCCCCACAATCAACTCTCTGGGCCAAAAATTCACTAGGGCCCAGGCTGAGAAGTCCTGAGTTTCACTGCTTCTGATGCAGGCATTTCAGCAATCCCTCACTTAGACTTTCAGTTTAAGAACTGTGAGTATTGCACCTGATGGTTTATAGAGCCCCTTCATAGGTGTTATTAAAGAAACTGCCTCAGCTGTTTCCTTCTGACAGAAACTTTGTTCACTTGAGAGGAAAGTTTCTCCAGTGGTGAGTGAGCACATGGGTAGGTGGTCTAGGCCTTTATCCTCCTGAGCTGGGCCAGGTTCCCTAATGTTTGAGGACAGTTGTAGTAAAACTTTATTGTGACTCCAAGGACTATACATACAGTCCATGGAAATCTCCAGGTCAGAATACTAGAGTAGGTAGCTGTTCCCTTCTCCAGAGATCCTCCCAACCCAAGGATCGAACCCAGGTCTCCTGCATAGAAGGCGTATTCTTTACCAGCTGAGACACAGAGGAAGTCCAAGAATACTGGAGTGGGTAGCCTATCCCTTCTCCAGTGGATCTTCCCAACCCAGGGATCAAACCGGGGTCTCCCACATTGTAGGCGGATTCTTTACCAACTGAGCTACCAGGGAAGTCCAAAAGGCCCCAAAAGGTTCCAAAAAATCCCTCCCAAAAAAGATTGTCATCCTTAATTTGGCCTGAGGAATCAGAGTAGGCTGGAATCTCTATGTTTTGTTCTTGGGACAGTGATTTCTTCTTGGAAATCCTGGGTGATCTGCACCTCAGGTAATCTAAAGCCAAATATTTGAATTAATCAATCCTCCATCCATCCACCCATCCATCTCTCCATCCTCCACCTATCTGTATTCATCAATCCATTAATTGATCCATCCATCTATTATCTATCCATTCATTAATCCACCCATCATCCATCTTCCTTCCATCCATCCATCCATCCATCCATCCATCAGTTCATTTTCTACCCATCCATCTACCCTCCCTCCCCCATATGTGTCTGGACTCTGGAGAAGGTTTGGGAATATAAAGAAAATGGGACAGTCCCCCACTCTCCAGGAACTCATGGTCTTGGGGGGATTTCAGGCACAGAAACCATTTTGACAATGACATGGACTGAGTATGGCATCAGAAGGGTTCCCAGGGTCTGGCAACACACTGTTTTGTCTGGAGATGCCTCGACAACCAGTGGAAAAGACTCCCCCTTCTTCATCCTAACATGAATGTTTACACACCCAGCCAGAGCATGCTAAGAACCACAGGGTTTTGTTTTGTCTTTAGATACCGTTTATTGACGTAAAATTTACATTTAGAAGATTGTGTATAAGTGTATATAGTTGATCAATTTTTACACACCAAACACACTTGCGTAACTGGTGCCTATTTTAACTCAGAGAACACAACCACCACCAGCCCCCATGAAACTCCTCATGCTCCTTCTCGTAGCTTCCCCAGTCAAGGATAACCACTGTCCCGACTTCCAGCAGCATAGATTTGCCTGTTAAATGGATTTATATGATATGTTCTTGTTTGCATTTGGAGTCCTTCATTCAGTATTCATGTTTGTGAGATACAGCAGGTTTGTTTGTTTGTAATTGTTAATCATTCAATCTCCTTGATGTATCGAAGAGCCAGATAGTAAGTATTTTAGCCTTACCAGGCCATGAGATCTCTACGGCAACTGTTGAACTCTGCCGTTTAGCGTGCAAACAGCTATAGCCAGCATGTAAGTGAATGAGTTTGGCTGGGTTCCAATTTAACTTTATTTTCAAAGGCAGGTAATGAGCTGGATTTGGTCCACAGGCTATAGATTGCCATGCCCTCCTGCACAGAATTCCATTGCAGTGCAAGGTTTTTAGCAACAATCCAAAAATATTCTGTTCTGCCCTAGCTGATCTTCTCTCCTCTTAGCAGGGAATTGGGATGGTTTGGCTTTTTCCAATTGGACACAAGTTAGTGACTGAACCAGATTAGACAAAGGCTCAGAACAGAGTGGAAAGCTGTAGGCCGGCTCTGGGTCCTCAGTGACTTATAGACTCCGGATCTTGGTGTTGGCATCCCTGTCTTATCTGGTCTTCTCTCCTCCCTCCAGCCATATTGAGGGTGGTGTCATCTGTCCTACAACTTGGAAATATTGTCTTCAAGAAGGAAAGGAACACAGACCAGGCTTCCATGCCGGATAACACAGGTGCTTGCTGCTTTTTTGTGTGATAATTGATGACTTTTGGTGATGGGAGGGAAGGTCACATTGTCTTGGTTATTTTTCTGGCTGAGTATATCTGGGGTGTTAATAAGAACTAGACTGGGTTACTATCACTTAATTCTTTTTTCAAACTTTTCACTGCTGAAGATCCTACGTGGAAAATTCTCCAATCAGAGTGCGGGGGGGGGGGGGACTAAGTTTTGGATCAGACAGGATCTTTAGGGAGTATCTCTTCTAAAACTCCACACATTTATTTTGTTAAACAAGTATTTTTGAGCACCTGCTATATGCCAGGCAGTGGGATACAATGAGAAATGAGAAGGAACCGCCCCCTTTCTTATGGCATGTGTGGGGAGATAGACCTCACATTTCCCTGAAATGGGGTTGTCAGATAAAACACAGGACACCCAGTGGAATTTGAATTTCAGAATAAACACTTCTGATTGTAAGTATGTCCTAGGCAATATTGGGGACATAATTATACTAAAAATTGTTCGTTGCTTATCTGAAATTCAAGTTTCACTGGGTGTCCTTTATGTTTTTCCTAAATCTGACAGCCCTACCTGCAAATAAAGTGTTTTGTGTTTTGAAAAGATGGCCTGGATACTTGTTGGTGGCTGATTGAAAAGGATGACTTAGGTTCCCAACTTGCTCACCCGTGGCCTCAACATCCCTGTCCCAAGCTGTATATTGGGTTGCATTTCCAAGCTGCCTTTTGAACTGTCAAGTTGTTTCCTATGTCTAACACTCCCAAAACTGGAAAGTTAAAGAAATCCTCGCACTGAGGAGAGACCCTCGGGGCAATAGAAACGAAAAGAGCACCTTTGCAAAAAGATGGGGGATAAAATCCTAAAACTATACGATTTATCGTCCACCTCACACTATTCCAAACCATTGTGTACCATTAGTCTTCACATTAAGGAAGCAGCTAATGTTGGATTTTTTTTTTTTTTTGAGAAAACCTTTTTAAATGCAGAACTACATGGATACAACAAGAGCCCATGTGTCTGCCATTCAGAATGGACATTTGTGAATATTTTTCAATACTTCTTTATCTTTAGACTGAAACAAAACACAGTGTGGAGAAGACTGACATCTGTTATTTTCCCAGCGGGGTCCTGCTCTTCTCCCTGAATCTCCTGACAGCCACAGTTAAACTTTACCACATACCCTTCTGGTCTTATGTTTATGCTTTCACACACATGTATCTGAACAATATACAGTGGTGTTTTGTGAGTGTGATTTTTTTATTTACATGGATGATATCACACTATAGGCATCATCTTACAACTTTTTTTTCCCCTAGAGAGAAAATACTTATAAAAATACCGTGATATATTAGTTTGCTCCCTTGTGAATAAACACTTAAGTTGTTTCCAATATTTTTCTCTCTAGATATATTGCCACATATATCTCAGAATGGTAGAACAAATGCTTATTGAATTTAACTATATGTCAGGTATATGCCTACCTCATTTAATCCCATTGACAATCAAACAACATACCAAATAGCTGACCATTTTTGCCAGCTAGAGTTTGGGAAGTTAAGTAGTTTTCCCAAAAAATCACATGACTATGAAGTGGGCAGAGAGCAAAGACCTGAAACTGTCTCTGCCCTAAGCCCCAGTCGGGGCACACCTCCATCCCACCCCATCGTTGCCTCTTTGTAAAACACTGGGGGTGAGGTCACTAATTACAGCAGTTTTTAGGACTCTTTCATGCTATGGTCACCGTCATGTTCCATCTCATCAAGAAGAAAACTGTATCCACAGATCCCGTGGATTGTGTGATCCCGTGTGATTTGTCTTCTTTTCCAAGCCTTCACTTTTGTGGTACATTTAATATGCTTCTTTTCTCCATCCAGCGGCTCAGAAAGTTTGCCACCTCATGGGAATTAATGTGACAGATTTCACCAGATCCATCTTGACCCCACGTATCAAAGTCGGGCGGGATGTGGTACAGAAGGCTCAAACAAAAGAACAGGTAAATGATGCATTTGCCATTTATTCCTGCATTTGTCATTTATTCCTGAAGACTCTTCCATCCATTCATGCTTCCATCCATCCATCCATCCATCCACTGTCCATCCATCCACCCATCCATCCATCCATCCACCCATCCATCCATTCACCCTTCCATCCATCTATCCACCCATCCATCCATCCACCCTTCCATCCATCCACCTACCCATCCACCCATCTACCCACCTACCCATCCATCCATCCATCCACCCATCTATCCACCCATCCACCCATCCATCCATCCATCCATCCACCCATCCATCCACCCACCCATTCATGCATCTGTTATCTAACCAAACTTGGGTCCATTAATCAACCATGCAGCAAAGCCAATTTGTGGTGAAGGAAAGTACACCATTTACCCAACAAGGACAATGGGTGGCTCATGCTCAAAAGACCTAGACTTCCCCGTGGCTTTCAGGGAAGGACTTTCCCATCCACCCACTCATCCATCCATCCTTTATCCCCTGTCTGTCCAGTACTAGAATAATCAAAGTCCCATGTCAGGTTTTGAAGGTACAGCACTGGCTGAGCAAGAATTACCAGAGTCGCTCACTCCAGACCTCATCTTGATCTTTTAGTTGAAGGTATGAGGGCTGACTTAACCTTTGGAAATGTCCCTGGACCCTTTCTAGAGGCAGGACTGACTGCCTCTAAGTGACCCTGAGATGGAGCAGGCTCCACTCTGTTCCAGGTCCCTCTGACAGGAAGTGACTACTTAGCCACATCGCCGTTCCTTAGGTCTAACCACTTTGTCCCTTATTGCCAGTTGTAGAGATGGTATACTTTCCTTTTCTTTGTTTATCTTTTAAGGAGTAACTGTAGGTAGAGGGAATATAAAAAGCCAGGACCACCAGTCAGGCTCTTGTGAAAATGCATCCCATTGGGAGTAACCCTGTCCCCTTACCCCCTGTAGGCAGACTTCGCTGTAGAAGCTTTGGCCAAGGCCACTTATGAGCGCCTTTTCCGCTGGATACTTACACGTGTGAACAAAGCTCTGGACAAGACCCACCGGCAAGGGGCTTCGTTCCTGGGGATCCTGGACATCGCTGGATTTGAGATCTTTGAGGTACAACTTGGCAGGATTGCAATAGACATGGTCCCGGTTCTCTGGAAATTAGCTTCCACTTAGAGAAATTCATTATTTTTGGAGAAAGGCAGGCAGCTACTATAGGGTGGGAAGCTGTCTCATGAAGGTTAAATCTTTGAGGGTTTAAGAGACAGAAATCCAGCGGGGAATGTACTGGTTTGTAAACTGAGGCCAGAGGTACAGCTGGATCCAACAGGCAGGACCTGAACTCCTGCCATCTCCCTCTCTCCGCTATCCTCCACTTTGGCTTCATTCTCAAGCGGGCTTTCCCCTCATGGTGGCATTATGGCTGCCGTCGATCCAGACTGCCTCTTAGTTCCAACCAGTTCCAGTTCTTTCCAATAGTTCCATCCACATCTTGGAACTGAGTGTCATTGAATCTTACCTGAGTTGGGGCACATGGTCATCTCAGAGCCAAGCACTGTTTTTAGGGTCTTTCAGTACTTCATAGAGTATAAAATGGGTACCAAATCCCACTCCCATGAGTTGGAGGGAAGTTCTCAGTGAAAGAGAATATGTTAAGATTGACAGATATTCCAAAACATATCTACTATGGAATTACTCCCTCTTTGAGCCTCAGTTTCCACATCTGTAATATGGGGATAATGAGGGACTTCCCTGGCAGTCCAGGGGTTAAGACTCCACACTTCTACTGCAGGGGCACAGGTTTGATCCCTCGTCGGGGAGCTAAGATCCCCTGGCATGGGGTATGGCTAAAAAAAAATTGAGGTGTTGAAATACCTAACAGTTATTCTATCTGTAAATCATTGTGCAGATGGAGATCAGCATTCTTGAAACCACGTGACATGGGAATAAGTAGCTCTACCAGCCCCCATGAGCCCCGGGCAGCCTTCACTGGGGCCTGAGCACTCTCTGGGTGCTGAAATGGCAGAGCAGGCTGGTGGAAAGGGTGTCCGGTGTGGAGTTATCTCCAGCACAGAGCTCCTCCGAGCCCGAGCCCTCTACCTCGGACCGTGATGCTCACAGGTCTCCCTGGTGTTGTGTGCTCAGGTGAACTCGTTCGAGCAGCTGTGTATCAACTACACCAACGAGAAGCTGCAGCAGCTCTTCAACCACACCATGTTCATCCTGGAGCAGGAGGAGTACCAGCGCGAGGGCATCGAGTGGAACTTCATCGACTTCGGGCTGGACCTGCAGCCCTGCATTGAGCTCATCGAGCGGCCGGTGAGGCCCCACATCACACACGTGCCGCTGGCACGCAGACCCTGTGCTCACTCCACTAGGACGTGGCTTCCCCAGGTCCTGCAAGGCTGTAAACTGAATCTTTGTGAACTAAAGTACCCTGTTCTTTAGCCCACATTTTCCTATCAAGTTATTTCTCCTTTTTATCCCTCCCCTTTCTTCCCTTCCCCACCATCCCCATCCCTCCCCTTCCCCTCTCTCCAGTTATTCATTCCCAAAGGCAAGGGTCTTGCTTTTGTTCACTGACCCATCCAAAACTCCTAGAACCATGCACATAGTAGGTGCACAAGAGATAGAGATCATTATTAATTGACCTACATTATTGAATGACCTACTATATGCTCAGTTGTAAAGAATCCACCTGCCAATGCAGGAGATGCAGGTTTGATCCCTGGGTCAGGAAGATCCCCTGAAGAAAGAAATGGCAGCCAGCTCCAGTATCCTCGCCTGGGAAATCCCATAGAGCGCGGAGCCTGGCAGGCTACAGTCCATGGGGTTGTAAAAGAGTTGGACACAACTTAGCGACCAAACAGCTATATGCTGGGCCCTCTCTTTAGGGGCTGAGGTGTAACAGTGAACGAGATGGACGCAGTCCCTGCCCTCCTGGAGGAGCAGACAATGGAACTAGACAAACAAGAGAAGCAACTGAAACCCCTGATAGGGACAAAGCAGAGAGTGGCTTAGGGATGCCTGCTTTGGACAGAATAGCTAGGAAAGATTTCTCTGATCTGAGTCCGAAAAGTAAAGAACATTCCATCAGAGCAAATGGCATGTGCAGATTTGATGGTGCTCCTGACACCTTAGTTTAAACTGTCTCAGCATTGGGGAGCACTTTACTCAAAGGAACCCTCAGGTGAATTTATTTGTAAAGAAACACAATTTATCACTAGAAGTGTGAAATCTTTGTGATGTTGTGTATGCTTCCCGGCCCTTGTATCCCTAGTGCTGGTCCATTGGGAACAGAATACTTTGGGGATAGATGGAGGGGGTGGAGATGGAGTGTGTACATTCACCGTTGTATGTATGTAGATACAGTAAGGGAGCCTACACACGTGCTTGGGTGGCCAGCCTGAGGCTGGGGCGCCCTTGCTATGATCTGCTTGTCTTCCGCAGAACAACCCTCCGGGTGTGTTGGCCCTGCTGGACGAGGAGTGTTGGTTCCCCAAAGCCACAGACAAGTCCTTTGTGGAGAAGCTGTGTTCGGAGCAGGGCAGCCACCCCAAGTTCCAGAAGCCCAAGCAGCTCAAGGACAAAACTGAATTCTCTATCATCCACTACGCCGGAAAGGTACCAGGCCAATGTCCCAGGGGTCCCTTCATCCCAGGGGACCCAGGCGGGATGCTCCAAGTAGGAGCAACTTGGGAGTGGCCGGACCCAGAGGCATCTGGTGTAAGTCAGACCCCAAACGGGCCTTATACACAGTTTGTCTAAGCATCAGGAAGGGACAAGATTTAGAGATGTAACATATAATGGGCTAATGTATATATAATACCTGCATATTAAGATAGAGAATATATATGCTATAATAGGCTAATATATGCGTGGTTACTATAGGCATGTATGAGATATATGTTAGAGAGGCCACTAATATGCTCCAGCTGGGGTAGCCAGGCTTCTCTTGTGGTTCAGCTGGTAAAGAGTCTGCCTGCAATGCGGGAGACCTGGGTTCAATCCCTGGGTTGGGAAGATTCCCTGGAGAAGGGAAAGGCTACCCACTCCAGTATTCTGGCCCAGAGAATTCCATGGACAGTCCATGGGGTTGTAAACAGTCAGACAGGACTGAGCAACTTTCACTTTCATGGTAGCCAGGCAGTTCTTTCCTGTATAGACTCCAAATCCTTCCTGCTACCAGTTAAACCCAACAGGAAGGGCCAGCTGGAATGGGGTGACCAATAAACCCACTTTCAAGTCCAACAGGAATCTCCTTTATCATGGCCTTAGGTTTGCCATTGCCAGTTTGTGCTACTCGGAAATTTGCAATGTCTTCTTTCTCTTCCTTCTCCCCCTTCCTCTGCTTTTCTCTCCTCCCCCCTCCTCCATCATCATTGTCATCACCGTCAACATCATGTCATAGTTCTTAATATACAGGACCTTTCCCTATGCCTCCGGAGAGCCCTGGATCATGTAGAAAAGACATACCTCAGTCTGGCTGGCAGACATTTATTGACTCCCCAGTATATCCACTACATCATAGAAGCAGGCAACGTTCTAAACCAGGGGTTGGCAAACTACAGCCCAGGTACCAAACCTGGCCCACAGCCTATTTTTATAAATAAAGTTTTACTGGCACATAGCCAAGATCAGACATGCCCATCACTGTAACAACCCATATCGTGTAAAACCCGACCAGAACTATGATCAGTTCCTTCCATGTCACAGTCAAAATAATAAAAAGAGGTCCCAGATTTAATTTAAAAGCAGATTGTTGTCAAGCCTTTGCTGGATGAGAGGTAAATGTTAAATGTGAGGGGAGGGTATTCACCACCATCAAAGCTCTGTACCTTTGGGAAATCTCAGGCATCGTGCTGGGCTCTTAAGGAGGCTGCCAGAGGAAGCTTACTAGGAGAAGGCAGGGATAGAGACAAGGCTTTCCCAGTAGGTCATGGCTGAGGCCTACTGTGCGCAGGGCCCTTTAAAGTTCTGTTTTGCCGGTCCCTTCATTGGTGTTTGTGGATTACCATTGTGGCAGCCACTCATGTTTCCTCTCTGACTTCAGAAGATCTGGGGCAGTGGGAGAAGTCTGGGGGCTTGTCCTTAGTTCAAAACTGAAGCAGAAGCACCTGACCGGTGGGGTGGTCCTTGACAGGTGGACTACAATGCCAGCGCCTGGCTGACCAAGAACATGGACCCGTTGAATGACAATGTGACTTCCCTCCTCAACGCCTCTTCGGACAAGTTTGTGGCCGACCTGTGGAAGGATGGTAAGGCCCTGAGGAGGCTGAACTCCCTCCGGCCCCTTCCCAGCTGCCCCTGATTCCCACAACTGCTCCCAAGAGGGACGGGTACAAATTCCTGAGCCCCCCAATCCTGCACCTGGGGCCCATGGAGACGGTCCTGAGTCGGGGCTCAGGCGTTTGATGGAGGAAATGTCTTAGGAGGTATGTTGGACCAGAGCGCCCCCTTGTGGAGTCCGAGAGACTTAACTGCACTCTCATCTCTGCCATGTACCAGCTGTGTGATCTCAAAGTCACTTGACTTTCTTAAGCTTCACTATCCTCTTTGGTGAAAGTGAAAGTCGCTCAGTCTTTTCAGACTCTTTGCAACCCCATGGACTGTAGCCTGCCAGGCTCCTCTGTCCGTGGAGTTCTCCAGGCCGTGGGGAGCCATTCCCTTCTCAACACAGGGATTGAACCCAGGTCTCCCGCAGTGCGGGTGGATTCTTTACCCTCTGAGCCACCAGGGAAGCCCAAGAATACTGGAGTGGGTAGCCTATCCCTTCTCCAGAAGATCTTCCCAACCCAAGAATCGAACTGGGGTGTCCTGCATTGCAGTTGGATTCTTTATACCAGCTGGAGTTAATCTCCCATCTTCCCTAAGATTACTGTGAGGGTGAAATTAGATCAGTGGGGCCAAGTTTGAGCATGGATCAAGATCACTGGAAGGCTTGTTAAAACTCATGATCACTGGATCCTATCACCAGAGGGTCTGATTCAGCAGGTCTGGATAGAGCCTGAAAATTCGTATTTCTCATAAGTTCCCAGGTGGCGCTAATGCTGCTCATATGGGGACCACACTTTTTTCCCCTTAAGAACCAGAGAACAGATAATCCAAGTGAAGTCTAGCACCTGCTGGGCCCACAGTAGGGACTTAGTACACATCGGCCCTGTGATGACTATTAGGTGGTGGACTTTCCTGCTTTCGCTCCTGGGCCTCAGTGCTTACAGCAGATTTCACTCTTGACATGGAGCCTGTGGGTCTAGGGCTTACAGGACTTGCTGCCCTTGCTTTAGGGATGGGGTCAGTTCTGCTGACATTTACTGAGTGCCAGGGCCCTGGGATGGGGTAACAGCGTCTCAACCCAGGTTATATCTCACACCTGGGACTCATGATGAACTCTGAAACTCCTTCCTTCAAGGAGCCACAGTCTTATAGACGAGGCAGACAAGCAAAGACATTATTACATGGTGCCTAACTGAGCACATGGGGCAGAACTGCTGGGTCTAATGTCAGTGGGGTTGAACTCCACAATACCACCAACCAACTGGATACAGTCAACTGTGTGTGTGCATTAGTCACTCAGTCATGTCCGACTCTTTGTGACCCCATGGACTGTAGCCCACCAGGCTTCTCTGTCCGTGGGATTCTCCAGGCAAGAATACTGGAGTGGGTTGCCATTTCCTCCCCCAAGGGATCCCTGTTTTATCTTTCTAAGCTCACCTCACCACTCAAAATGTTGTATACTTGCACATGTGATCATTGTCTGCCTCCTTCTGTTGGAGTATCCATAGAATATGAGCTGGGGTCGAGGGTGTACACAGCGTCTGGGTTTTGTTCACGTCTGTATGCCCAGGGCCTGGCACACAGAAGGCTCTCAGTATTTGTTGGTGGACGAAGGATTGAAGGCAGGCAGGGAGGTAAGCCCTTTGCAGACCTTATTCAGTTATTCCTTCCCTAGGAGGTAGATGCTGTTACTACCTCCATTTCCCTGGTGGCTCAGCTGGTAAAGAATCTGCCTGCAATGCCGGAGACCTGAGTTCAATCCCTGGGTTGGGAAGATCCCTTGGAGAAGGGAATGGCTACCCACTCCAGTATTCTGGCCTGGAGAATTCCATGAACTATATAGTCCATGGGGTTGCAAAGAGTCGGACACGACTGAGTGACTTTCACTTTCACAGAAGGAGAAACTGAGGCACAAAACGGCACCAGGCCAAGGCGGTGGCAAGAACAGGATTTACTCCCAAGTCTCTGTGACAGGGTCAGAGAGAATGTGTTCTGTCTGTCATTCGGGAGTTCTCGGGGTCTCAGAAATACGTAATACTTGGAAAGTAACCCCCGACACCTCCCTTTGCCTATTGCTAGAGGGGAGGTGTGGGCGTGGAGGAAAGAATGGGGAGGGGTGCCCCTGAGAGTGAGCAGGGGTCTCCTGGGTCTCCACCCTCCGGGCTGGCCCCCTGGCCTGCTGCAGGGGCGCAGACCCTGGATGGGCTGACACCACCCTCCATGTGCCCGCAGTGGACCGCATCGTGGGGCTGGACCAGATGGCCAAGATGACGGAGAGCTCGCTGCCCAGCGCCTCCAAGACCAAGAAGGGCATGTTCCGCACGGTGGGGCAGCTATACAAGGAGCAGCTGGGGAAGCTGATGACCACGCTGCGCAACACCACGCCCAACTTTGTGCGCTGCATCATCCCCAACCACGAGAAGAGGGTGAGGCCGCCGCCCGGCTCCTCGGGACGCCCTCAGGGTCCGCAGGGAAAGGGGAGGCAGGCCGGGCTGTGGGGGCAGGAGGAAAGCCAGGCCACCCCCCCACCCAGAGGGCTTCATCTGACACGGGTGGGAGGCACTCCTTTCTCATCTGAGAGGCAGAAGAAGGCAAGAGAGGAAGGGAGAATGCTCCCGGGGACTCTGAGCCCTGGAGTGGCTGCACATGGTATCAGATCACTTGTTCACTAATATTTACAGTAAACATTATTCAGCTAATATTTGCTGAGCCCCACCCGTGCCGGGTGCTGGGGATTCGGTGCTGGATAGACTGTAGTCCTTGCCGGCAGGTGTCATAACCTAGGGCAGGGGTGCTTCGCTGGGGGGCAATCATGTGCCCTCCCTTCCCCCACAGGGGAGATTTGACCGTGCCTGGAGACATTTTTAATTGAGAAGGGGGCTATTACTGGCATGCAGCACACAGAAGCCAGGGATGCTGCTAAACATCCCGTAGCACATAGAGCCGCTCCCCCTGAAACCACAGAGAATTATCCAGCCCAAGATGTCAGCAGTGCTGAGTTGTGGGAGAGGCGGACACACCAGCTGAGGATGTCATGCAGTAAATTATGAGAATACCAAAGAGCCAGGGCTCCCACTCAAAACTCAGGGCTCAGAGAAAGCTTCCTAAAGGATGTGAACTCAGTGACTCAGAGGGCAGGGAGGAAAGGGCATCCTAGGCAGAGGGACCAGAATAAGCAGAGGTGTGGAGGAGAGACATGAAGGGTCTGGGAGAAGAAACTCCAGGGGGGTCGTTCCGTATTGAGGTGTGATGGTGTGCAGCAGGTATGGCGGAGATGAGGCTGGACTGCTGGGCAGGGCTTAGATTGTGGCATTCCTGGGGGTTGACAGGGCTTGGCACTCCTTCTGTAAAATGTTATCAGGGGGCTTTTAAAAGCAGGGGTATGTCATGATCAGATTTGCATTTTAGAAACCAAATAAGGCAATGGGAGAGGCAGGACGGGGTGGGAAGACAGTACAAGGCTACTGTGGTCATCGGGGCAGGAGAAGAGGGCGGCGAGTGGATGGCAGTGGTGAGAGAAGTGGGTGGGTGGGGAGATATTTGGGAGGTAGGAGCCGTAG